TCTTGCCTCAAACAGTCCTGCTTAAACGGGGATATCCAACACGATTCATCGAAAAGTATAGCAACAATATACGGCCAAAATTGACGGAGCAATCAGTCCTGAAAAAGCCTGTTGTAATGTCCTTACTCTTTGAGGGCGGTAACATCCCAAATATCATCAAGCGGCGATTGAGATGCGCCACTGAAAGAACATACAACTCAGCTGAACTCATTCTGCAGCCCAACTAAGGCTATCTATCCTAGTTCCACGGGCGATGGATGCCTTGCCATTGCACGCCACGTCAAATTGTGCTTACGAATTCACATGCACTTGCGGATGCAAGTACATTGAGCGAACGCAAACGCAACTGGCAGCCAGGTTAGTTGAGCACCTGCCTAACTGGCTTCTAAAGCAGGTGAATGAGATTCCACGGGCTTGTATTACAAAACACCTCCTTGATAGCGGCCATTCGGTTGACCCCAAAACATCTTTTCGAGTATTAATTCGAGCACAAACAACTCGGTTAGTGCGCTACCTGGAGGCAGCTTACATACGGCGGGGGAAACCCGACCTATGTAAATAGTTAAACCACGTGGTCAATCTCAGCTTGCCCTGGTAGATCTGAGCCCCTTTTGATTTACGAAATCCCACGGCATGTTAACTTCTTCACTTTCTTTCCTATGTTGCTCTTCAAGTTACCATTTTATTGATTAGTCTACATGCAGTATACGATGACCTTGCTGTTTTACGTTGATTTTCTCTGTGGAAGTTCAAACCTCTGTATATTTCTCATTTGTCATCTGTGTTATGCAACGATAGACTGCAGTTGATAAGCCGTCGCGAAATTTTCTGGTTCCAATAAATTTTGTTGTCTATGCGCGCTTTAAATTCATTCCGGGAAAATATTGCTTCAACTATCCGTTGACCGCGAACAGACACCAGAACTTGTGGATTTTGACCAATTCACCGTGTGTGCCAGTAGGACTTCTAACTAACAGGTCGCGAGTTCGAGCACCGGGTGTTACACATTTCGTGATTGGGTATGACTGGCTGACGACGGCTAATAAGCCAGAAATGGCCATTCCAGTCTCCCTTGTCTTGGTCCGTAATACCATGCGCTGCTGTGCGGCTGCTGGTTAGGCTCGAGAGAGAGCCCGTAACGCACAACGGAACGAGTGACTTCGGTAAGAACTATCGGTGAGCGCCTCCTACCATAGTAGGTGAGATGCCTTGGTCCTCTTTTCTGGTAAAGATCAGACTGTATTAGTTTCTTCCCACTATGACCTTCATGACATTTTCCTTTATGATAGATCCCAAAACCGCAGCTGAAACCTGTAAACACCAGCTTGTACGCGGTACGCATAGGCAGGTCGCTGAGACTTATTAGTCGCTGCCTCCACACCGACCCTGGTCCCTTCTACCTTGTTATGCCACCCTAAACCACCAGATATGCGAATTATACGGCAAGATGCATGCAGCACATGCATGCCGTACCACAAATCAGTGAACGTACAAATCATTTACGCACCCTGTCCGTGGAGATAATGCTGATCCTCATCGCTTATAAGGAGCAAACTGTTTGATAGGTTACCGACGTAGGATGAGGTCTATGCGGGTTGTCGTGAGGCATCCCGTTGTCTTTACAGTACCGGAATCATTTCGCGGGCAAGGTCGATCGGGATCGGCAGTTGGTAGTTGCCCTCCTCCCCCATTGTAACTCGGACGTGCGGCTTTTCAGCTACTCCCAGTGCAACCTCAAGATACCTGAAAAAACATCTTACCTTTCGTTGTTCTCAGTGAGATCGTTTCTGGTCAGACAGGGATATTTATCGAGTTGAATTACGATACAAGGTCTCCTGCAATAGGAGTATGGTGTTAATATTAGGGTTTTGTAGATGAAACGCGGTAGTTTAAATAAGCAGAAAGGAAGAAATCGTACTTGTGATGAATGCTTGTTTTCATACATAAAACGATATTGCGTAGGAAGATGATTCGGGAGGCGGGGTACGCATATCCGTGTCCCAACGTATTTTGTGACGATGTGAAAATCGCGGTTTGTTTGCACCAATAATGCTTCCCTTCTTTTGAACAACACATAACGAATAACTAGTATAATAAATTGCAAATGAAACTGAAATAAGATGGTTTCGTATATTCGGTTCCGATGCGTTTGAATCGGGTAAGATACCGAAGCACCACGTCTGCGAAAGGACTCTGTTCGGAAGTCAGACAACCTCGTGCCAATTACGGCTTCATACTTAGAGCGTCTTTTTATCTAAATCACCTGCAACAACCTTAACCGTTCGACATTGCGCTTGGGAGGACACGAAGATGCGTTAAGATTTTGGACTTATTTGCATTTCAAAAGGCAAGTTGGCGAGCATACGTCTGCTTTCGATAAATTCTCTTCAGGCCTGTACATTTATATGGCTGTTGAAGTAATGAATTAAAAGATAACGGCAAGCAGATAATTAGGCTGTAGCTCGGGTTTGTGGGGGGAGGGGCAGAGTGAAACACCGCAATTCCAGTCAGCGCCAGGGAGAAATTGGGTCCCGGCGAAGGTAATTACATGGGGGTGGCTGGCTTGGTGGCTTTGAACCATAGCAAATGTGGGACCTGCATGAAGTACTTCTGTGCACATAGGACCGGTCCGCGTAGCCTGATTGCCGTAGCCAATAAGCGCTGCCCAAGTAGTTTTGGACAGCTTGATGGGACCTTGTAAATCACTCTGAAGGCCCCTCTGACGTCTACGCGGTGGTCTGTGTCTACCATGTGCGTTACTTAGTCCCTCCTTGCCGCAAATGGATGGCACCCGAATTGGAATCACCCTGCCCCACGCAACCGAAGTTAGCCCCGGTGCCACTGATTACTGGTTTAAATCTGCTACAGAAGATGTCGCTTCTCCCCCCCCCGTCCCGTCAGCGGCAACCTGTAGGCCGTCTGCTTGAGGTGGGGAGGGGATCGGGGGACGGGTTGCTCTCCTGTTCGCGTGCGCAGGCGAGAAACGAGGGCACGAGGTGACGCCCCACGTGGCAGTTGGCTGACTTTGCCCTTGGGCAGATCACGAGACTAGGCGTCTCCGCCAACGCATCCACCACCACATTCTCCGTTCTGTCACCCCGCCCCTCCCGCCCTCCCGGCAATTAACAAGTTACTAATTTTAGACGCCTGGGTGGTGAGAGTTAAGGCCAGACGCGTCCAGGACCAGAACAGGGGCACTTCTTTCCGCGCTCTCTCCCCCCCCCCTCCTGCCAGTAAGTGACGTCAGATACTGGCGTACAGATGGCAGAGCCGCATCACCTTGGTAACCGGCCTCAGCGACCGCCTTTGCCCGAGGCTTCAGAGGGTGAAGAAGTCGGGGAGGCAGGTGGGGAGAGTGAACTGTCTGCTTTGATCTGAACTCAAACAGCAGACCGGGGAGGAAGTGAGCAGTAGAGCGACCTGCTGTCGCTCTTGCTGTGACTTGTACGCTAGCCTCCATCTGGTTCTCAAACCAGACGAGGTGGTCATATGACCTGTCAATAAATGACTAAGCGCAAGCCAGTCTTATTGTTGGGAGTTCGGTAAACACATTTACTCTCTAAAAATTACGCTACTGTCAAAATTTCAGACACCACTATCATGCAGGTTGACAGCTGAAGTTGGTAGCATTCGGTTCGACATTTCGACCGTCGACTCCGACGATGTCCACCGTGTGCTCAACAGCAGGGTGAGAGCGGGGATGGTGGCTTGTGCGTGAGTTAGTTTTTCCCTACGCGGAAGGTATACAAGAGTTAGTTGGGAAACCCTAGTCGCAGCTGCAGCTTCAGGTCGGGTCCGAAATTATTCGAGAATTAATATGTTATTTCAAGTCCAGTAATTAAGGGAGACCACGAATAAACAAACTAAATGGCTATCTTTTTTGTACGAGAAATTCAAATACTCTTTTTACTAGATCTGCTTGGTAGACATCGGAAACGCCAAAGTGTTGAATAAGCATCTTTTTATTTTTTTTAAATGAACTGCAAATAAGGACCTCTCCGTGTTTAACTGTCTGGTGTGCAAGTTATGTATTTCATCCGTGTTTCGGTATGTGCCGAAACTAAATCCTCCCCGGCAGGTTGTCCATTTATGTATCCTTTAGTCCGAATCATGCGTGGACAGACCCGAATCGACAAGAATTGGCCTAAAATATCCATGTCGCGCAATGTGAAATAACGAATGTCTGAAAGCACAGTCGGTTCACTGTCCGACAGGGTTATCGCCGTTTGGGAAATCGATCGTCGCAATCGACGACGTTCATTGTGTGAATCACAGAGTGGGCACATTGCCGGTGGCTGGCGCGTGACTTAGTTTATAAATAGTGAGGCAGAATTTCGAAGCATCTACCACATACTCACCTACCGGGCTTCGTTCGCAAGGCAATGTCAGAGCTTCCGGAAGTGGGCTTGGACACAATGGCTGACAAGATTAGACAGCCCGTTTACGCCTAGCACGCAGGACGGACCCATTTCTTCTCCGCAACAGGGGAGGCTCGGATCTCATGTTTATGAGATCGGTAACGCCGTTAAACCTGGCTTTCAGTTCTCCAGGCAGTCAGTGCTCAAGCAGTACCGATCACGAGGACTGTCTACAGCTCCCTCCTCGAACTCTCGCATTTACCTTCTGTTTATAAGCATCCCCGCAACTTTGCAGATCTGCAACACTGCCCATAACTCCAGCTAACGTCAGCCCACTCAGCCAACAACTTGCGGCTTCGTAATTTGTCCACGCAGACACTCATTATCCAATCAGAAGAGCAACAGTCTGTTCTCGCGGACGGGAAAAACGGGCGCTTGAAGAACTAGCCAATCAGGCAGCAGCGACGTCCGCTCAGTTATTTAAGCTATATGCTGTAGAGGGACAGGTTCTGCCGCAAACAGCTGCCCACAAACGAGTTGACGACAGCTCTCAGGACCGAATATCTGATGTCCTTTATCTGCACCGCGATGAATCTGTCAAAGAATAAAAGTGAGCCGTGTACGGACAGAGAGCAGCACCGTATGCGACCAATCAAATTCAATGCCGCGAATGCACGAATTTTGGCTAAACTGGCCGTTAGTCGAAGCAAGGAGGGCCGGAGACTGACAGAAATGCAAACACCCCACCAGTTCAACACGATTACAGAAGAGGAATTGCAGAGCATCCGTTTGAAGATAAACATGAGAGAACGTCAACGGATGCAGGACTTGAACCGTGCGATGGATGAACTTCGGTGAGTACGAGCGAAACCTCTCGCATCGTAGCCATTCTCTAAGTTGTAAATCTGAGACAGGAAATAAATATACTGGTTTTATTGTGGATCGGAATGTCGACTGTGTTGCGTAGGTCTAAACGACAAAGTGACTTTAGGAAGCTAGGGGCTATAGTGTGTACATGGCAAGCAGAACAATGCCGGACACGGCAGAATATCGCGAAACACGTATCTGGGCTTTAAGCTAGCACCTATGTCAGGTGTACGTTATGATATCTTTGCCATGTAGATTTCATACCCGTTGTTTGCAGAATGACCATTACATGGTTACTTCACGGTCGGATTGTCTTCAAATCGAATGTTCAATAAAATTTCAGATCTGACCCTAAAAAGGCATGTTCCGCAGACTTAACTCCATGTCCTGAACTGAATAATTTTTGAAATTACTAGTCTGATTACTCTCTGGAGTCCGTATACCAGAAATCGCATAGAAAACGCTGGAAGACCCACTGAGATGCCGAAACCCTCTCAGCTGGGTCATGCAGCGGTACAATATGGGCGGAACATATGTCTGGGCTTTCGGCTAGTATTTATGTCGGGAGTACGGTATAATACCTTTACCATACATACATAATGCATGTACCAAATTGCTGTTAATGCTTATGCGATGTTACCTTTCCTTTTATGTGATTCGCTTTTCAGCACCGTAATGCCCTATGAGTGCAAGCCACAGGGCCGCAAACTATCGAAGATTGCCACCTTGGAACTGGCCAGACAGTTCATCCTCCAATTACTTCGAGAAAAGCACGAACTGGAGGTAAAACTTCAGGAAATCGTGATTGCTTTCAACCTGATCAACTCGCGAAGCCAGTACTGCCACCACCAACAGGATCCTTCCTTGGTCGGGGGATATCATTCGTCAGTTCGTCGCGGTTCTTCAGTAGACATGCCTCCGGACTGGATGCCGATGGTGCCAGCTGGAACCTCGGAGGCATCACTCAGTCTACATTCCACATGTTTCTCCCTCCCCTCGCCATTCTCCTCCTCATCTCCGGTGGGGGAAAGGGAGGTGGAACGAGGATTGCTGGACTCAAAATCTGTCGCCTTCCATCCCTTCCCCAGAATCCACGTGGAATATCCTTCCACTGCGACCACAGACGGCGACTGATGAAGACGATCGACTGCCAGGCAGTTCACTGGACTTTTGTACAAACTCATCGGATATATGGCGAGTAGAAATATAATTATATCGTAAAACGAAGTTCGAGCATGTTCTCTTGACTATTTCAAGGGAAATCGAATAATGGATTCTTATTATTGCCATTGTGAATTCCTAAGAGTATGTTTGGCGCATATCTGACGCCAAAGAAAGCTTTAAAAACGTATTACCAGTCTCATACACGGGAAGATTTAAGTGAACAGTATTCGTTTGATTTGAGGATGAGGGCTAAACAAGCAACTTGTCGGGTTGGCAAGTATAAATAAAATTAGGTCGAAAAACAAGGCTCGGGCATACCCCCCTAACCGTTTCAGGGAAAATCGAAAACCGTATACCTGTTATTGGCATCATGAATTCCGGGAGTACCCAACTGATGAAAAGTTTTAAAAATTACGAGTGGTTGCTAATCACTCGCAAACCGCTCCAATGCATGGACCCACTATGTATGTTAATAAGGAAGAACTTTAAGGCGATCGACTGCATTTTCCAGACAGTGGCTTTCGTAACCTCGGGATGCTAGTTGACGTGAGACTTTGCCAGTCCTGTCGCAACTTCTCTACTGACTACTCTTATCAACACGACACTGCTGTGGGCTGCCCTGAGTGCTGCTGAAGATCACACTTGTGCTTATTCATGTTGTTGCTATCATAGTTGGTATGCGGGATGTCAATGACAGAACGGAACGAGTGAGTTCTGTAAGAACGATCGGTGAGCGCCCCTCTACCATTGTATATTCCCGATCGAAACCGGCAGGACAACGAGCCCGTAGCTCAGTGGTCAGAGGCATTGGACTTTTAACTAACAGATCGTGAGCTCGATCCCCAGGTGTTCCACAGTTCGAGGTTGGGTATGACTGGCTGATGACGGCTAATAAGCCGGAAATGGCCATTCCAGCCTCCCATGTCTTTGTCGGCAATACTATTCTGCCTATATCATGCTCCGCTGTGCGGTTGCTGGTTGGGCTCGAGGGATAACCCGTAAGGCACAACGGAACGAGTGACTTCCGTAAGAACGATCGGTGACTGACCCTCCACCAGAGATGAGCTTTCGACAACGAACTTCAGACAGTAATTCGGTGTGTCACAAGGTGTAGCCTTCTTGACGCTGCGGGCGATTAAAATACTGGGGCAGGAACGTTAGACTTATAACGTCCGAGGACTGAAGAGCGCGTGTTCGAATCTCA